ATGCAGAAAGTAGACATTGTATGTTAATTTTAATATTTTCATATCTATCAATGTTATTAAATAATTATTACTTTTCAATAATACTTAGTGACATAGGCGGATACAGGAATGTATTTTAGGGGGGGCCCAAAATAAAAAGTAATGTAGAATATGCTTTTTAGGGCGCCATTTTTAACAAAAAAGCCTAATATTTAACACAATTTACAGATTTGGGGGTGGGGGCCCAGGCCCCATGGGCCCCCCTCTGTATCCGCCACTGCTTAGTGAACACAAAAAAATAAACTATTGACACTATAGACAGTCTACTGAAAGAATATATGATAATGACAGCCGTATTCTCTCATTTTAGTTTAAAAGTAGATTGTACTGTCTACTTTTTCTGGATGTCGCCTGTCCAAATAATATATTCTTTCGCAAGACAAACTATAGAATCAATAACCACTTAACCACTACTAATATTTTTACATGCTACAATAATATATTAAAAGTACATTTTGTTTGAAGTATATTATAAAAAAATGTAATATCTCTAAAAATACCTATCAATAAACGTTTTTACATATTTATACGTATAACCATGCAATATAAAAATAGGATGATGAAAAATAAATAAATTATATTTCAAAACTTCTCTTTCATTTAAATCAAACTAATTTATCGCAAATAACATTAATAAACTGGCCACCAAATTTACTTAATACTCAATTTACTCATATAAGATATTTATATAAAAATAGGATAATGGCGCTTATCATGTCTTTCCCTTGGACGCTTCATTACTTAGGACTATACAGGATGTCCCAAGCTGAACGTGCATTAGAAGTTTCTAGAGAACTACAATATCTAGATCAGGGATTTTTTACACATCAGTGTTTCATAACGAGATCTACTGATTAACAATATTTTCAATATGGCGGCACTTCCAGAAATACCGGAAGTTGACAGCAACTTTTTTTTTTTAAATGGGTACCAAAATTTTTTATTACATACTTAAATTCTCTGTAAAATTTTATGAATTTTGATATCAAACACTCTATATCTAACATTAACCGTTTTTGAGAAAAAAAATATTTAAAATTTTTGGAGGAAAAAAACTGCCTGTCAAAAAAAATTGTAAAGCCTAAACGTCAAATTTAGTGATTACCGCAGCCACTGTGACGTAAAGAGAAGACATGTGGCTATCTATTTCAAAAATTGAATTGTTCAAATGTCAATGCTGTCATGGAATTGAGCGATAAAAATTATCATAAATCATTTTTTTCAAATGAAAACCCACTTTTTTATTATAAACGATTTACTTTAGGTATAGGAATATGTTTAATCAAAAAGTAACGAATGTAAAAAATCTGTTCCCTAGTGAAAGAAAAAAGTGGGTGTTTATTTAAAAAAAATATATATTTATGATAAATATAAAATCGCTCAATTTCATGACAGCTACGACCAATATTATATACCATTCGAACAATTTAATTTTTGAAATAGATAGCCACATGTTTTCTCTTTATGTCACAGTAACTGTGGTAATCACTAAATTTGACGTTTAGGCTTTACAAATTTTATTGACAGGCAGTTTTTTTCGTCCAAAAAGTTTAAATATTTTTTTTCTCAAAAACGGTTAAAGTTAGGTATAGAGTGTTTGACATCAAAATTCATAAAATTTTGCAGAGAATTTAAGTATGTAATAAAAATGGGAGTACCCATTTAAAATAAGAAAGTTGCTGTCAACTTACGGTATTTCTGGAAGTGCCGCCACACTGAAAATATTTTTAATCGATAAATCTCGTTGTGAAACACTGATGTGTAAAAAATCCCCAATCTAGATATTGTAGTTCTCTAGAAACTTCTAATGAACGCTCAGCCTGGGACACACTGTATATCAACCAATATTGGATAGATATAGTCTGTGAAACGAATAACTTTGAATTTGACAGTTCCCGCGGGCTTTTCTAGTGTTAATTTTATTAGGTTAGCAACTTGCGGCCATGCTGACGCAATGCAGTCTCTAATAGAACAGCCTCGGAGCGAGATTTATGACGTCACGCTAACATAATTATTCCTTATATTTGACTATGGCTGAAATCGTACTCCATAGTCAATGTAGATAGTTTTAGTGTTAAGAATAATAATTTAAAAAATATGTGGTCAACTTTTTGACAAGTTTATATTAGTTTATTAATTGCAGTAAACATTATGTGGTTTGTGGTGTGAATATTTTATATGCAATTTTATGGATTATATTCGGCACTATTTTTTTATATGACACAACACTGATGAAGGCTATAATGTTAGCCGAAACGTTTTTTAAACCAAAAAAAATAATGAAAAACCAAATGAAAACTTAATCAGCGTTTTCCCGAACCTAAATCCCAAGAAAATCAAGAATTTCAGAATAATTTTACATTATAAAATGACAGCGATCTTTATTTCATAGCCATCGCTGACGCATTTTTTCTATGATATTGTATTATTTGCAAATATAATTTTTAATGATACTTGCAAAATATATGTACATATAAATTTTGTGAATGCAAATAATAATACATCACTATTAGTATATATTGAATGTTTTTTGTTAAATTAGATCGATTTTCAAGCCCCAAAATTTAAAATATATTTTACATTTTACACATTATCTTATGTACCTATTCATTATATGTATATTGTAAAACATTTGCTGCATTTGTATGGTTCATAGTTTATTTGCCAAAGTATTTATTACTATAAATAGGTATATATTATATTTATTAACTGTATATTATGTATATTTCATGTAAACTATATCATTTTTAAAATACAAACCAAAAATACGAGGAATAATTATGTTTTCCATGTATTCTACAACATATTTATTAATCCGTATCTAATTAGCGTGACGTCATAAATCTCGCTCCGAGGCTGTTCTATTACAGACGGAATTGGTCTGATATTTAGAAATGTCAAAAGCTGATGACATTTTACTTTTGACAATTATGCCATTTCGTGTTGATTTTTGCAAGAAGAGGAAGAACTGTCACTTGTTTTATTATTTTCCTTTTCTATTTCACGAAAGTAAAAAGAGTTACCTATCTGATTCGTTCAGGCACTCAATTTAAAGAATACTTAAAGAATATCAGTTACTTTTTTGATAGAGGGATTTTATATTTGCCATGTTGGTAAAAAATAACGGTCAAAATTCAAAGTTATTCATTTTATAGACTATACCCCTAGTTTTTAGTATTATACAAACGGTCCCAATATCCCGTGGACATAGAACTAGTAGGTACTTTTGGAATCAAAGTAAGTTCATTGGACACAATTTACCTCTATACAAAAGTGCTTCGTTTGTCCGCTGGAGGGCAACAAACTTTAAAAAAATAAACACATTTTTCCAGATATTTTAAGAACTGTTATTCCGATTTGAATGAGATTTTAGGTGTCTATGTTTTGCTAAGTGCTTCAACATTTGACTTTCACAAAAATCAAGAAAAAGTACAGGAACGGTGAAAACTACCCCCACCCCTACATACATTTGAGTATGTTCTTGATATCGTCAGTGAAACGTGATAACCTGCTAACTCCATTTTTTTACGTTAATAAGTTTTTTATACCATTAGAAAGAGAAAAAATACTTTTTAAGTAGGGAAAGCAAATACATTTATTCCCATTAAAGAAAATTTGCTATTTTAACTCAATAATATCTGCTAACTCCCAGTGATCTGAAATAGCCACCGAAATACTGCTATCTCCGTAATTTCCGTTACGATCACGCTAAAGCAAACACACAGATTCTTAGTCGTATGTTTTTTAGTACAGTACGTCGATCCAGGGTCGCACTAGGCCAAAGGGGCCCGAGTGGCAATGTAAGGAGGGGCCCTGTGTTTTTTTGCGTATTTTTTCGCCTTACGTTTTGGTTAATTTTTCCCTATTATATACAGGGTGAGTCTTATATAAGTGCAAATATTTTTAGGGTAGTATATTTCGACCCAAGAAACACGATTATGAGGTTCTCTTCGCAAAATTTTTTTAAAAAAATTTGGAAATTTTTTAAATTTTTACTTTAAAAACATACTTTGTTACTTGTTTTGTTGTACTGTAAATACGGGGTGTCCGTAAAGAGTAAGGGGAAAAACGAAATTCTCTATATACTATACTATAAATAGGTTAAATAACATTACTTACTTGTACAAGAATTTCCATAATACCTAATCAGTTTTATTTTTTTCAACGTTTTTCCACGTAAATGATAATAATTTTTATAAAAATTAAAAAAATAAGGAGAAAAGTAATAAAAATTTAATAAAATCACGCACTGTTTTGCAAGCTCGGTCTACTACCGTTGTATAAAAATTAGGATAAGCATGGAAGGATTCTACCATATCTTCTAAGAATTATAAGTTTAATTTTTAAATTATTTTCATATTCATTAAGTCCAAAATGCTGCTACTTCAGTTCTTTAAAAATGCATTAAACATTTATTCGTTTTTGGACTTGTATGTTTTCCTTCTAGACCGACGATATTATAAATGTATGGTTATGAATATCATATTTTTAAAATTTAATTGATTATCTGTTTCGGTAATATTCAATTCCATTTTCAAAATTTCAAACAATAAAGGTTGCTATCTCCAGAAGTATATTTTTATTTCTTAATTCTGCAAGACGAATATCTGCTATCTCCCTATTATGTCTGAAAAAATTATGTAACACGAAATATTGAGTTTTTTTGTTCCCCAGCAAATAAAATTCTTATCTCTTTATCATATTAACGCATGAAAATACTTCCTACATATGTACATATTTCTTGTACCGTTTTTTGCTCTCCTGTAAAAATCACATTTCACCGACGATATGTTCCTTACAAAATCTTTTTTTTTCAAAGCTACTAATCTAGATGAAAATATACTAAGTAGGCTGAAGCAGACCGATTGCTGTCGCAGTTTTCTAAAGTGATCGCGTTAAATCTCTAGCACTAATCACTAGTTCTAAAAACAACATTAGATAAAATATTAGTCTAAACTTACTATCTACAGGTACGAATAATCCAGGTTTGTCCTCCACCGAAACCATCGATTTGTAGTCTAGCTTTGGTGGCGGTTCCTTTTTCTTCTTCTCTCCAATCTCGGTTGGCTGCCTGATAAAGGTTCCGACCGAAGATCGCCTGCAAAGGAAATTTAAATAAGATACGTCAGAAGTCAACTGATATCCTTCCCACCTACGACAGTGTTACGTATAATAAATAATATAAAAGTTTAAATAAAAAAATAACAGTTTGTGTGCGTGTTGGTTCTAGAACTATACACTAATGCATGGGGAATATAACGTTTCAAACAGGATTTAATATTATGCTCATAGAAAAAAAAATCAATAATATTAGTTTCCTTCGTAATATTTATCTAAAGTTAAAGTAGTTAAAAAATACGATGTACTTAAACAGCCGTTAAACGGTAGCCTCCTAAAATGCCGTTAATAGATATTGTGACGTCGTTCATATCGGCGGAAAGTAATGCCTGCCTATAAGCATTTTGCAAGAGCACCTGTGGCTCCGTGGCTGAGGCTGTCACTTCGGGAACGGTCAAAAGCGGTGAACAATGGTGGAGCGATGGTTGAAATCTCACGCCGACCAAGACTTTTTTATATTTTTTTTTGCTTATAGCGTGATCTTATTGCATTGGTTTCATTCTTTTTGGTTGGATTGGTTTAGTTATTTGGCGGGTTGGTTAGCGTGGTTATTTGGAGGGTGTTATTTCATTGGTTAGTTGGTTATTTGGTGGGGTTGGTTGGTTTTTACTAATTTATATTTGTTTTTTTATATTTTTTTTATCAGTGTCGAGGTTAGTTGCGTTGGTTAAGTTGGTTATTTGGTGGGGTGGATAGCGTTGCGTTCTTATAAAATTCCTATATTTCATAAAGCCCGTCAAGTGCGTCACATCAATGACGTCATACCTATTAACGGCATTTTAGTAAGCTACCGTTTAACGGTAGTTTAAGTACAGCCTAAAAAATATGGAATACTAGTCTTTTCCCGCCACTTCGTCCGCATAAAATTCGAATTTTATTAATATAAAGTGTAATATTTGTTACAACACCTAGTAACAATATTTGAAAGTAGGTACCTATTACATGTGTCTAACTGTAATTAATAATCTAGTTGTATAGCTAGTAGTAATATTTGAAAGTACCATATGATCGAAAAAAATTGCGTCCAGTTGGCTTGGAAATGACGATCGATGACATTTCCCATATAATCTATACTAATATATAAAATCCTTAAGTGACTGACATACTGATTAATCACGATCCTGCTCAAAGCACTCAACGTAAGAAGCTCAATTTTGGCATACAGGTTGATTCTAGGGTGCAGAGATAATAAGAAGGGATTTTTCGAAATTCCAGTTCCAAGAGGGTGAAACTACCCCTCAAATATTACAATATTTTTTATTTAAAAAACGGTCAAGTCTCCGAAAAAAACGTTTAAACACGTATATTTTATTTTGTTTTTTACATATTTTAAGATTTTTTAAAAATGTATACAGGGTGTTTCGAAAAATCTGGTCATTGATTAATCACGATCCTGCTTAAAGCGCTTGACGTAAAAAGCTGATTTTTGGAAAACAGATTGACTTAACGAAAAATATAAACGAAAATAAAATGTAAAAGTCTTTGCCCTAACCCGGATTCGAACTCTGAATCCTCGGTTCGTGGTCGGAAACTCTAAGCACTGCGCTATGGAGACATGTCCGATTTATATTCAATACTCGAATATAAAGGACTAATAAACATATAGGATCTTCTTTCAATGCGCAGTAGGGAACGCAATGTTTACCGGCAGCCAGACGGGCCACATGCTGTTCTAGAAAGCATAGTAAAAGATATATCAAAGAGCCAGACGTTTTGAAATACTTGTTTTTCCGACGTTGCTAGCTCTCGTACTAATAGAGAAAGCCAAATATTTAGCTTATAAAACAATAAACTTTTGATTTCTAACCACAATTTATCTTGACGGATGATAATCAAAAGTCAAAATGACATTCTCCGCAAATTTTGAAGTATAATTAGTGGAAAAGTCAAAAGTTTGTTAATTTTTTCTACTAATTAAAAATGACTACCACTAATTTTAGCGTTCTGAATGCTTACATTGAAATTAAAGGAACAAACTTCTACGTTAATTGAAATCACTAATTACGAGGTTCTGAATGAAGCTTAAATATATACATAATACATTGGTGATTTAGTTGCAAGAATTAAACGCTCGAATTACCACAGGACGAGGTTCACGTGCACATTTGCACGTATTTTGGCCAAATTTTAAATCCTGTTTTTCGAATAGTTTGCCATACATTAACAAATAAAAACATAAAATAACATCAAAACAGAACAAACTATTCGACAAATAAACAAAATACATCGGGAAAAAAGAGTGGGGACAACTGTACCACCTGCACACACGCACACGTACCCCACAGCGCTAACCGTGGACCCGACCGTGGCTCCAACCTGGGCGCTGACCGCGCCCACGGTCGAGCCCACCGTGGAGCCGAGCGCGCCCACCTGAGCGCCTACTTGCGCGCCCATCGCACCGACCTGCGCGCCCACAGCGCCTACGCTCGCGCCCACCGAGCTGATGATACCGGTGGGAAAGAAGCTGCTGCCAGTGGAGGAGGCGACGCTCTCGCCGGTGAGCGGGGGGCCGCTGCTGCCGGCGGAGTGCGGCCCTCCCGAACCGCCGCTGTCCTCGGATGGCGTCTTTGTGAAGAGTCCGGCGCCGAAGTCCGCCAGATGGATGGGGGAGCTTGGGGGAGACGGAGAGCAGACCAAAGAATCAGCTTGGTGGTTAGTGGCGGTATATATTTATAAAGACTAAGTAATGCTCTTTTCTTTAATACAATGATAAAATATTAATAAACTAACTAAAATATTTAAAGTAGTTGTAGACAATTGCAAATGTTCAAAATAATTTAATATAGATAGAGATAATTTCTATTTTTTCTACAATACTTCTGTACTATCTTTAATTATAAAACATAGTGCTTTAATGTATGAATAAAAGGACAAAAAAAAGGAATATTAAGAAACTCGGCGAGAGCGTCTAGATCTTTACATTCATCTCATATGTGTATGTTGGTAATTCTTGGTTTACCCTCGTATTATTTAAAATAAATGAATCATAAGCGAAAATATGATCATAATTTTGAGAACTTAATTTCAAGAAAGAGCTCTAAAACTTTGGAATAGTCTTTACAAATATACAGTTAGTAAGCAGTAAACTTTGAAACAGATGATAATTAGATTGTAATTATTCTAAATAATTAATTGAATTCAAGTATTATATTGCAAGTCTTTTTTCAAAAATTATTATTTTAAAATATTTGAATTTAATCACATAAATACAACAATTATACAGTGCATAGCCGTATTTAATAATTTAAAAAAATAACTCGAAAACTAGTATCGTTATTTAATAATGAAATAATTTTTGGTATTATGGTATGGACTCGTTATAGAATAATTAATCAGCCTAGTTATATCTAACTCCACAAATAATCTTGAAAAATGATGTTGAGCGGAACTACAGACGGACATTTGCATTACTTAAAACGTAACATTAATATATTAAGCTTGCTGACTTAAAGCTTAACATTAATAAAAGGTTTTAACTCTATAGGACTTTACAACACAATTATGATACTGAAAAAAATACACATAAGAGAATGCAAATCTCTCCCATTCTGCAGTTTGATCATGTTTTTATACTGCTCACGACAAAAACAGCATATTCCTCATTTCAGAAATTAAACTCTAAAATGTCATTAAACACTACTGACGAAGTTCCGCGCAAAAATTAATGAAAATTGACGGAAGTCGAACTTCCTCTAGCAAAACTTTGGTCATTAGTGGAGAAGCTCCTATTCAGGTGATTGGGGAATTCCTTTGGCACTTTTAAGGAGTTTCTGGCTAGGTTTAAGGAGCATATCAGTGTCTTGTCAATGGCTGTAGTATCGTGGCCAGGGAATTGCACCATGACATAAAACGATGCCGGATGGGACTATCCTATCCATCATACCAGAAACCCTCTACTGTCTGTGGTCATATCTCACGGGTAGAGGATGTGGGGTGTCTTGGCTTAACCGCCCGGATCAAGAGGAGACAACCTCACCAAAAACCGAAATTCTACAACGGCGGGAAAAATTATAGATATATATATATACCGGGCATTGGGCATCGTCGAGCGGGACATAAGAAATCCCATGTAAATTTTAATGGGGTCAATTACTGGCTTCCCTAATTATTTTAGATAATTATTCTATTTAGGTTTATTGAAGAGCACTAAAACCCACATTCAAAAGAATAACTTTAGATATTTTTGATTAGCCCGTTTACGAGTTATCGCTGATTTCTTTTTAAATATTTCTCCTTTCTTATGGCCCTGTATTTACTTATGAGCACCAGTCAAGGTAAAAGATAACTGTCAAATGAAGTTGTCATTTCAGAAATTTATCTATTTAGTGCTTTATTATTATTATTAAAAACTTATACCTACATCGAAAATATTATATTATAAATACATCTTTAAGATTTCCGATGTAGGAATGAGTTTTCAATAATAATAAAGCACTAAATAGATAAATTTCTGAAATGACAACTTCATTTGACAGTTATCTTTTACTTTGACTTGTGCTCATAAGTAAATACAGGGCCATAAGAAGGGAGAAATATTTAAAAAGAAATCAGCGATAACTCGTAAACGAGCTAATCAAAAATATCTAAAGTTATTCTTTTGAAATGTAGGTTTTAGTGCTCTTCAATAAACCTAAATAGAATTATTCTCTAAAATAATTAGGGAAGCCAATAATTGACCCCATTACAATTTACATGGGATTTCCTATGTCCCGTCCGACGATGCAACACCCGGTATATATAAATTATATATATATCAAAAGGATGCGTGGCTAGATAGAAGACTAGCCTCTACTGGTCTCAACCTTCGGGGCACCAGGGAGCACCCCATTGCATTTATCTCTTACTTCTACATGCGGGGCTCTGTAGAAGTGAACCGACTAACCCAAGCGACTCGCGGGAGCACTATGAGATCAAGAATAAAAACACCATCGGCGGATGGAAAGCCGTCCAACACAAGAGGTAAGCAGGGACGTCTCACCAGCTGTGCTGCTACTGCTGGATACGTAAAAATGGCAGGCCAAAAGATTACCCAGTCTGTACTGACCACACGTTAGTACAAAGCAGATTGCAACACAACGATCCACAAAATGTGGATCAGCTGCGATTTGTGGGGATATACATTCGAGTGAACATCTCAAGAATCGGCAGATAAGCTTAAGAATTGGCAGGGGCCGAAACGCATATTTGTAAACAACGTCCATGATCGCGATTCGGTTCTAGGCCGAACGATACCGCGTAAACAGCACATGATATCGCAAATCCGTCTGGTAAATAGCATTCGTAATCCCAAATTTTAACTGCCTTAACAACTCTTATAAACACCAGACGATATCGAAATTTATTAATGGGTTGCTCGTAATCAGCATTCAGAATCGCAAATTTTGTTTGTCAATACAAATTAAACGAGCTAAAAATAAAAAAAGAGTTTTTTCAAGCGGTCACCCCTTCCAATAACAACCAGGCATATTGCTGCTTAACTTTGGTATCGTACGAAAAAATACACGTTGACGTGCTGTTGATTCATAAAAATTTAGATTATTATAGAGGACTATAAAGTAAAACCTAAAATCGTGTCGAGAAATCAACAGAAAATAGATTCCCAGATGACACTATTTTATGTTCCTCCAACTTAATACGTATGCAAATTACTTAAAACAAAATAGAGATATAATATATTTTCCATAGAACTCAATATAATTCTAATACCTAACTTTTCTTAAAAAAAAGATGTGTCCTTAACTATAAAAAAATGTTCAAGAAGGAACTAAGTTACAATCTTCTTCGTCTTCTTGTACTAGAAAAAGTCAAATTTTACCTGCAAAGAAACTACACAAAGTGTAGTTTTTGTTCTAAATTTTCTAAGTAGCTGGTCATTCTCTAAGCATTGGGTAAAATGTCCTGGAAATTTAAAACATTCTGTAACTTTATTCATTTCGCCATTTTTTGGTTTCGATTTATAATCTGTTTTTCTTTTAAAGTTAATTTGTTTTGAGTAATTACTCTTGTTAATTTCTGTAACTTACCTCAATTTCTTCCTTTTTAACGAAACGTGTTCTAATAATTTCTTTATCTATTAACTTATATACTCGTGGTTTGGGCGCAAATTATTTTTTTTTACAAAATATTATTTAGTACTATATTCTTTGGTAGACATCTTGCACTTGCGAATTTTGAGATCTTGAATGCTGATTACGAGCAACCAATCAACAAATTTAGATATCGCGATGTCGCGATGTGCTGTTTATAAGAGGAGTTAAGGCAGTTAAAATTTGGAATCACGGATGCTATTTACTAGAAGGATTTGCGATATCGTATGCTATTTACGCGGCATCGTTCGGCCTAGAACCGAATCGCGATCCTGGACGTTGTTTACAAATATGCGGCCGGGACTGGTTGCAGTGAAAGGTGTCCTAAAGAGGCGTCCATCACGGTCTTTCTGGCGAGGAGCAATGGGAAATACACCACATAGATGCTGAGACTTGCTCAGAACTCCGATGTAAGAACAACGAGTTGGAAGGAAAGCCATGGTTAAATCTTCAGAGCTAGTAGTGTAGAGCAATTTTTACGAAAATGTACTAAGTAACTCAAAGACAATATTTTAGCCGTGAGCGTAATAAAAACACAATAAAAATGTTTTTGCTTTATGCAGGTGATTCATGCGAAGTGCGATCCTCAATAAGTACTATTGAGGTAATTAGAACAAATGATTTTAAATGTAACTGAATAATAAGAATTAAACTTATGAATATTAAATACACTACTAAAAGAGTCATACATAAATTCAATATTAAATGACCGCCTGAAAAGTCAGCAACAAATTAGGAATTCCAATTTCAAAAAACTGATTCTTTAATATTTAATTTTTGGTTGGATACTAAGATTAGATTATAATTTTCACCATTTGCTGCCAAAATTTGGGGATCATTAATTTGTGTAAAAAATCGTACTGAAATATCCAAATACAAAAAAATCTTAATATTAATTTATAATTGTTTCTAAGAAAGCAATACATTTTATAAAGCCGACCACTTAAGCGACTACATTATAAAAAGAAACTATTTAATATAAATCACTAGGTATGTGCCAAGTAAATCAACCACTTGCATAAATCACCATAAATATTAATAAGTAATTAATTATAATATTTAGTCAATAAAATATTAACAACAATAATTAAGAAAACACAATCTACATATATAAATATTAACATATAAATTACCTCGAAAACACTTTTGAGAATAGCGAGGAATGCTGGGGGTCCGCTGTTTGCGGATGACTAGGACCAATTTCATCTTCTTTCTCCATCCATGACAGTGGATAGGACAGTCTTTTTAACATCTAAAAAATAAATCGATTTAATACAATATAAAGGCAAAGTGAGTTGCTCTAGATTTCAGAAATCAGAATCAGAAACTTTCATAAACCATTTTCATAAGTCGTCAGACAATTGAGATGCGAGGGACCGGACTAAGGAGGCCATGACAATTTTGTTTATGGCACCTTTGGTTTCGCAAAAAAGTAACTTAGTTTCGTGAACATCGTAAAGTTTTATCTTTACTAATATTTGAATAAAAAGACTAAGGAGTCTAATATTATTTATACCGCGATGGGAAGTCTTGCTATTAGGTCGGTGTGGAAGTGAATGGAATAGAGATCTTATTACGTCGGAGTGAGAAAAATGCAACGGTGTGCTGTTGCATTTGTGTTTGTTGCGTTGCCACATCGTGTTTCCCTGGTCGAAAGACTCTTATTTCTAAAAGTTTTTTTTTCCAAAAGATAACTAGATAAAATCATTAGTTACTATGTTTCTGAGCATCTGAAATCCAGTTATAAGAATATCGTTATGGTGTCCATTTTTTTTATAAATATAATATTTTATTATTTTTTATAAGTCAATAATCGCGGTAATTTGAAAACTCAACTTTTTAACACATAAAACGCGGTAAGTCAAGAACTACTTTAGATATTGAAACTCTTTTCTTTATTTTGAAGTTCGGTTCTTAGACAATATGTTTAAATCAGAAATATAAAACCAGTCAATTCACTTGGAATTTACTAATTATGTTTTTTCATGCATTTTTGCTTCTATTGTCTGCTTGTCAAAAATAATTGGGATACGCCAATTTAACTTAGGGTAAAACATAGCGGAGCGATGAGGCTACAGGCACAGCGACGAGGTAAGAGACAAAATAAGCGACGCGATAGGAGACACGTACATAATAAGAAGACAAAAGTTGCGATTTATTGCTCGATTTTCCAAATTCAAACCAGTATGAACAATGTTCTCCTACAGTGAAGATGAGATTTTCGAGGCGCAAAGTCTTTGCGTCTTCACGCCTTAGATTGAGACGCAATTTAATTTTTAATTTTTAATTGAACATCTCTTAATTATTCCAATGTTTTAAATAAATATCAGGCGGCTTAACGGCCCTATAAGAGCCCTCTGCCCCCCTTTTTTGTGGTTGACTGGTCAGCAATGCTTCACGGTGGAGTCATCAACACGAGCCATATTTTTCAATGTAGTTTTTGATGAAATGCTGACAATTAACAAAGTATATTAATTTTTTGTCAAACCCTTCCGACTGCAATCCCACTAGTTCCTAGATTTTCTTATATCTTATATAACATGTTTTAAATAAAATTAGTACGGCAGTGGTAAACCGGACTTTTAGTCAGCCATACTAGCATTAAATAAATTACCTTATTTTTTCTACTTTCAGACTTTTCGGAATCTTCTTTGGAATCAAGTAAACTTGTGGAAAGCTGCGCTGCCGATGTGTCAGCATCGCTGCTGGAATCCAGGCTGAAGGAGACGCTATTGGTCTTCTTTCGCGCTGGGCTATCTGTATCGCTGCTCAGCGAATGTGTAGGTGCTATTGTGACAGGAGGCACCCAATCCTTTGATAATACTATTTCTGCATCGCTATAATGCTAAAATATGGTAAAATTGATTAATTAAAATACTTTGTTGCAACAAAAGTAAAATATGGTAAATATGTTTAACGGGTTTACTATTAAGCCAAGCCCGCACTATTGACGGGTGGAGGGAAGCTTGTCGGGTAGAGGGTAAATATACCTTGTACGCAGTAGTGGACGGAAAATTATTAAAACAATAACCAATCTAATCAAGTTCAGTTGCAAATTGTCAAATTTTTCGCAAAAAAAAATTTGCCAGAAGGCTTCTGATCTGTGACAATTCTGATATGAACTTTGTAAATATGAAAAATAAGAAGATGTGGGTGCATGAGTATAACTTGCATAGAGACCATGATGGAGAATTTTTGAGAGTTTACAAGAAAATGGCGAAATTACCCTGACAATTTTTTTAATTATGCACGTATGAGTGTAAAATCGTTTGATTTTCTACTTAATAAAGTTCAAGACAAATTAGAAAGGACGTCTACAAACTTCACAGAAGCAATTTCTGCAGAACAACGCTTGTGCATTACAATTTTTCTTCCATTTTTAGACCAAAACTATTTTATGTCTGACTGAAAAATCGAACACGAGTGATCCTCAAGTGGCTCGCTTGGCGAGTTGCTTTGTGGCTTAAGTTGGTGGGGGATTGCACTGCGGCTGGTTTGGTTAAAATCGTATGTTACGGAAACATACCTCGCGGGTTACTTGGAGGGTCGCTTGGCGCCTGGATACCCACTACCCTCCGGGTAACTTGCTTGCACTGCGGCCTCAGATTTAGGGTAAAAACATAGTGGAGCATTTCATCTCCTCGTGAAGCTGCTTAGAACTTCACATTTCTCATTTAATATCATAAAGGAAAACTTGGTAATAACTTCATTCAATTAAACTTTGTGTAATAATCATAGGCAAAGTAATAATGTAGATATAAACAAATTTGTAAATATTTGAACATGTATTGTTTCTGAAACTAAAGTAAAAAATCGAGTGAAAAGGGCCAAGTGAAAAAAGCAGCCGTGGCAACATTGCAAAGTGCATTCGTCAAATACACTTCCCAATAAATTAACGCACCACAAAAAAAATAACCAAAAGTTTAAGTTAAGTTTTTGTCAAAACCACTTATCCGATTTGGACGATTTTTTTTAAATGATAGGTTATTCTTTCCACAATGTTGCTATACTAACTGTCTTTTGATAGGAACCCTTTTTATACTAATACCGGGTGTAGCAAGTATAACGTGTTTTTTTAACAAAATTTGTTACACCCTGTAGAGTTGATCAGTTACAGTATCAAGTTAAAATTGAAATCACATTTTAGCCTTATCTTTTTTTACATTTTATTTTTTTATTTGCTCCATTATCCTCCTTATTACACGAGAAACAACATTTTATAGGATGACATGATTTAATATTGGTTTTAATTAACATTTTTTCATTTTACTCATTAAAGTAAGTAGCAGGCTATGGAAAAACACGGATTACCAGTAAATGTCAAGTAGAGATGCGAGTTTCTGTGCAAACTTGTAGACCATTAGTATCTCTGAGCTGAGTTTGAAGGGTCCGAGCTGTTACGAAACATTGTCTTAATGTTGAGAGTTTTAAAAAACGTTCGTGAATCGGAGTGGTTATTCGATTCCTGCCTTGTCCCGGCCTGCGACAATTACTCCCAGTATCTCTATACCGTTGTATAACTCGTGAAATGGTTGAGTGAGTTACATTAAATTGTTCTCCAATTCTTCGGTAGCTTCAACCTTCCTCAGACAATATTAATGCTTGAGCACATTCTTCGCGAGTAAGATTTCTTGTTTCACGTGCACGTTGCATATTTTTGATATAATAAAAGGACGAAAACGACTGACACTGACAACAAGCATCTCTATATGACATTTACTGGTAATCCGTGTTTTTTCCGTAGCCTGCTACTTACTTTAGCGAGTAAAATGGAAAAATGTTAATTAAAACCAATATTAAATCATGTCATCCTATAAAATGTTGTTTCTCCTGTAATAAGGAAGATAATGGAGTACATAAAAAAAATAAAATGTAATAAAAAGATAAGGCTAAAATGTGATTTCAATTTTAACTTGATACTGTAACTGATCAACTCTACAGGGTGTCACAAATTTTATTAAAAAAACACGTTATAATTGCTACACCCGGTATTAGTATAAAAAGGTTTCCTATCAAAATACAGTTAGTATAGCAACATTGTGGAAAGAATAACCTATCATTCAAAAAAAATTCGTCCAAATCGGATAAGTGGTTTTGACAAAAACTTAACTTAAACTTTTGGTTATTTTTTTGTGGTGCGTTAATTTATTGGGGAAGTATATTTTAATAAAAAAATATTTTCCTATAGCAAGAGATAGGGTAAAATCCCCACTGTATATGACTATCATATGCAAAAATTGCTACTTAAAAAACATACCTCTTTGACAGGAATTGGAGCAATAGGTGGTAATGGTGTTTCTCTGATATCAATTCCTGAATCATGGCAACTTTCTTTTACATCATTGTTGTCGGCTTCTTCTTCGATATCATGAACAGACGTTGAAATAGCTGGCATTTCATCGGTATCAATTGACCTGGCAATTAAAAATGATGTTTATAAGAATAATAAAATTGCAAAATATGAGAAATGCGATACAAAAGAAGGGCAAAGGAGAATTAGTATACCGGGTGGTGCATCGAGTTTTGAGATGTCCACCCGGTTTCCTTTTACTGTCTACTAAGTTCACCGTAAGGCAGAGATTTTGGTAGGCGGTTTTCTCGCATTCTGCATACGTGACCAGCTCAGCAGGATTTTGTAATCGTGACTTCAATCGTGGCTCTCGCAGCTAGCTTTTCAAGGACTGATACGTTTGAGAGATGGTGGAAACCATTTGATTCGTAAGAGCTGTCCCTGAACCATTTGATTCCTAAGCTGTCCCTGTTGCAACTTGTTTATTGTGTTCATGTGCGGGCGGTACGGTACTCAGATTTCGCTTCCATATAACATGGTGGGGATTATTATTTCTCGGTACACTGCAAGTTTCGATTTTGTGCTTAAGTTATGATTGTAGAAACCCCTGTCTTTTAATTTCCAGAATGCTCTTGAGGCGCTGCTAATCCTGTGTTGAATTTCAGAGTCAATATTGACCTTTTCCAAAATCAAACTGCCGAGGTAATTAAATTCCGCTACATATTCCAATATTCTTCTCCGATTTTTATAACACTGTTGTGATCTTCCGGGGGAGTACACTTGATTTTAGTTTTATCGATGTTCAGCTTAAGCCTCGTATGCCCAGGTATGTGTTCAACATTTCTTGTAATTGCTGTAACGTTTTTGCAACGTTACAGCAATGTTACAATATCAGTTGTCACGACAGCCTGCATTCAGCTAAACCATGGAACAGATTGAAAATCGTGATCACGCTTGTAAATCACTGGTATTAGAAATCACGGTATCAGTTGTCACGATATCCTGCGTTAGATGTAGACATGGAAGGGTATGGAAGTCGCGATCACGCCCCTATTTTATATCACTGATATTAAAAAATCACGGTTTGGCTCATACCTACCAGGATTTGCTTGATTTATATCATCAGGGGCATAGAAGGATTATTTACTGTTATGATTAAGAATGATTATTATATTGTGATTTTTGAATTTGAATAAAATTAAAAATTAAACTTACTGTCTGTCGCGCGAAGTCATCGGCCAATGGTGGTCCAACAGCGACTTTCTTCTCTCTTCTAACGTTTTGTTCTCGAACGGTTCGGAGTCGTCCAGATTTGTCGGCGTGACCAATTCCCTGTCGAACGCCTTCGGAAAAGCGTCCCCTTCCCGTTCTGTACATGAACACACAGACTCAGCATCATCAGTACCAGTCACTACGACAAGACCACTAAACTAACACAAAATCCATGCTTGTTTAATATAAAAGTCAGTTAGTTATGTGTTGATTTGGCGAATTCTTAGGAGCAGAGACTTACGATATTAGATATATACAGGGTGTCGAAAAAAATAGTGTACTAAAGTTCAGTGGGTGATTCTGCACATCAAAATAAAACAAAAATTTCAATAAAAATATGAACCGTTTTCTTTGAAAATCGGTATTCTCAAAAATAAATATTGAAAGATATAAGCTCCTCTACCCTAAGAGAAATTACCCTTTCAGAACTGTTACAGATTTTTACTCTATCGCCATTTGCTTTGGGGATAAAATATATATTCATTTTCTACCTACATATATACCCTTTCTTATTATCTGAACAAATTTAATGCAATCAATCATTTCATCTAAATATTGTAAGGCCTATATTCAGAATAAAAAAATCAATGTCAGTGTACTACCTGTTATACAAAGTGTTTCAAAAAACATGTGCCATCTCTCGTGGGAAGAATCCTCACGTAAAAATAAGATTTGTTTTTCCGATTCTGATTTCTTGCAATTGCAATTGCCGTGCTTTTAGCAATTGGAATGTAATTTGGAAGGTAAACGTTACTGTTACTATGAGGGCTACTTATTTTATTCCTAAAAAAATTGTCAACAGTTTCACCAGGGACGTGCATATGGGTTATCACTAAAATATTCTTCTAAAAACACATGTGCGCCACTGATTTTTTCCTCTTATTAGCAAAAGTGTATAGGCCATTTAATACTGATTAAAAGTCGCATATTTTGTTCAATTTGATGTCCTCGATTAGATAAACGCAATTTTATTAATCACAATTAAATAAAATTAAAATAAATAAATTATTTATTTAATGTAGTAAATTTTATTAAAATTTATCAGATGTACAGTGCTACCTACAGCAAATTCCCCCAAAAAATAATGGTATTTCAGATTATGGGATTTAAGATTTTGCCTGTGCAAACATACCGACTGGAAACGACCAGTCTAACAAAATAATTTGCAAATTAACTCTTAACAACTCAAAGAGCTATGGAACGATGTATGCTAGGGGTCTGTCTGCGAGACAAAATTCGTAATGAAAACATCAAGATGCAAACAAGAGTTACCGATTTAAATCAGGAAGTGGCTAAAATGAAATGGCAATGGGCTGGCCATGTTGCTAGACTGGATAAAGACAGATGGGCGCATAGAATAACAGTGTGGAGGTCTAGACAAACTAAAAGAAGTGTGGGACGTCCACAGAAACGTTGAGTGGAAACGGGAAGTGGCAGGTAAACGGTTGTTAAATATAGCACAAAAAAGGGAGACATGGAAAAGGATAGGAGAGACCTATATCCAGGAGTGGATGAATTCGGGGGTTGAGGAAGATTTAAGATAATGACAATGTGTTATTTTTAAAAAAGTTTTAATATCCTGTAACTTTAAAACTATGCACTTCCGCACATATGTTTCTAGCAACTTTTTTTATATTTTTTTTGATGAGCAATCAATAAGGACTTATTTTAAATTTTGGCAAGTTAATGACATTAAATTTTTTTAAATGTTATATTACTATTAGAATTGGAATAAAGCAAATTAATTAAATTGCGCTTATCTCATCGAGGCGTTCGAAATGGACAAAATATCAAGATACAATATTTAATCGGCAAAAATGCTGACACTATTTCGGTAACAAGAAAAAAAAATCAGTAGCTTACATGCTTTTTTGACAAAAATATTCCAGTAATAATCCATGTGCATATCCCTGGTGAATATGGAGACACTATTTTAGCTTTAAAATATGTCGCATTCCTAATAACTTTTACCCTCAAAATTTCATTCGAAACGCTAAGTAAAAATTATAATAAGAAAATTACAATAAATCGAAAAAATATTAAGACTTTAACATCCTGTAGCTAATAAAGCAGAATCGGACCTATCTTGATATGAAAAATAAATCTTATTTTTATGTGAAGAACTTCCCCACGAGAGATGGCACATGCTTTTTGAAACACCCTGTAATTTTCAAATAGTAGAAAATATATATGAACGCAGTATTAACTAAGTAAGTATATAATTTAGATGCTTATTAACAATAGTAGTTTAAAGTATCTAATGTTAATATGTATTTTAAATCCATGCACTATTTGCTTAATGTTAGATAGTAATAATAATGCAATACAAATGTAACAATGCAATGTATTGTGTAAATAGATAAAATGACGACAGAAAAGTAAATGTTTACAGGCTTAAAATTATTAGCTAAAATATCAGAAGTAAAAAACGCGACGTGAATAATATTTAACATACCTTATACAGGGTGACTCTTAAATAAGTGCAAATATTTTAGGGGTAGTATATTTCGACCACAGAAATATGTGTATGAGTTTTCGCGAAAAAAGAACTGAAATTTAGAATTTTTTGAAAAATTCTTTGGATTTTTTTTAATTTTTAGTTAAAAAACATAATGTCTTCATAAAATGATAACATAGATAGTAGATTAAATTTAAAAGAAAGAAAACACAGAAAAGATCCAGTGGTTCTCAAAATTTAAGGGAAAAATCATTTTTTTTTATTTTCAAAGTAAAATATCTCGGTTATTTTGGACTGAACGGTAAAGAGAAAATATGTTTCTTTTATTGAGATCTACCTGCCCTGAAAATATTTGCACTTATTTAAGACTCACCCCGTATATAAAAATTTTATGTCCTTCAATAACTGATTTATTAAACCTATTGTAAATGCTAAAATTATTATTTAATGTACTTCTCTAACTAAGTACTACTTACAACGATTATTTTTGTTCAATAGTAATTTTTTTTTCAATTTTGTCAACAAATTGGCACACCGAGACATTTGTGGGACTATAGAAACCGAAAACAGAAGACGAGAAACAGCAATGCTTCAGGATTTATTTATATTGTTTTTCAGATCTTTACTCTTGAAATATTTCATCATTATTTGCTTTTAAAGGGCGGTATAAACTAGACCCAAATTACATAAGAAAAGTTGCGTTAATATTGGTATGAGCATAAAGTAACAGTAGAGGATATTAACACTGTTACAGTGGCGTGCATATATTGTAGGCAAAAGGGCGTTGCCTGCCACAGATATAAGCATAAAACTTTTTTTTTCATATTATTACATTCTAACTCATTACCAATCCAACAAATATTAGCAATAAATAATTATATTGTCTCCAATGGGATATTAAGTCTTTAATTTTCTACGTATTCTACAGACTGCAATGACTGGAGGGACAATGTGTAATGTGTACAAAAGAGATGGAATAAGAAAGTAACGCGTGATTTAATTTCGTCGGCGCCGACCACTGTTCTGCGCAGTCAAATCTTAAAATTTCTACCCCAATTTAGAATAAAAAATAATTATATTGATTACTTAATTATATCAAATAAGCTATTCTTACTTTACTATGTTGTCAATTTTTGCCTACAGCTTTGCACTGCGCGCCACTGCATTGTTTAATAAAAATAAGTTACCGTAGAAGCGTACGAAATAAAAACAAATAGTTTTTGAAAAAAATTGACATTATACCGCAATTACTTTTGGGTTATCGACAATATGCTACATATCTACTTGTCATATCAAATATCAAAACTCTCAATGCAACTCAATGTATTCTTTTAAAATTCAATACCTACGTAAATAAATATGCGCAAAACGTTTTATTTCAAAATTTTTTAGCCAAACTACATAAATCAAGCTTTAATCTTGAAACTTTTATAATTTAAACTTTTTATAAAACCAATATTTACGGAGAGGGCCATGCTAAAATATAATCCACACCCTGTACATGCGAGGTATAGCTTACGCTCTCTCTACCATATATACAGGGTGGCGCACCTCATTCGCCTCCGTTGATTATACGAATATAATATTTAATAAATATTATTAAATACATATATATATATTTAATACATATTTAATAAATATTATTTATTAAACTATTTTAGGTAAATTAAATAAAAGTAAACTGGTATAAATTTAAATCCATAATAAAAAAGTCTATAAACAAATTTCGATTTTGAAAATAGCTATTAACTGTCACTAGAAACTTGTCATGACGACCCTCTTGGTTGCTATTGTTACGTTTTTCGTCGGTTCCGTGTGGATAGAAAGTCACAATTTATTTAAACACTATTTATTTAACACTAATTAACAAAAACAATAACGATAAAAGACTTATAGAACTATTTACAAACGATTTATAACTAAGAATTTTTTTTGAACTTTAGCGCGTCAACTGTACTGTTTATTTATAACTGCCCCCTGTAGGCCACAGCCGCCGGCTTTTATACCGACAGGTAAAGAACTCTAGAATAGTCCATAGATCGTTAGGTGCGTAGAGAAGGTTTTCGAATGTTCTCGTATGTACTAGTCCATTCCAGTGGGACTCGATTCTTCTCGAACGAATGAATCATTACGGTGTCTATTCTTTAATACGATGTTAAGGTCATCTGAGGGCGGGACATATAGTTAGGTTAGGTCGAGTCCACACGGGTCCGCAACACTATTTTATTGAAAAATTGCTCTTTATTCAAAATCTGAGCTAGATAAGTACAGGTAACCTAATATAGTTTGAAAGAGCATTTGAATCGGCTTCGATTTATTTAAAAAAATACAGGGTGTTGTATTTGAAATAACAAAGTTTTTATGTAAAATAAATATTAAACCAGCATTTTTTGATACCCCTGTATACATTAAACGAAGCAATCAAATTTTTCAGTAAAGTTTATTTCTTTGGCTTAAAAGTTAGCACAAGAATTAATTCTGAAGGGCATACATAGAGTACAGGGTGTTGACAATCTTTTTATATTACAGCAGGCATATTTAAATATCTCAAAAACCAAAGCTTGGAAACATACTTAACCCTTATAATAAATGTCTTATTTTGTGTCCAAGGATTTAAAAATGAAATAAAATACCGGGTGTTCCATAAGAAACAATATAACTTTGGTGTGGATCTTAGTTGTGACATAACCTGTACATTTCGAAATAATATTAAATTATTCACCTTGCCTTACCACATATATCCACAAATATTTTGTTTCAACATCTCTCCGTTTTCGTATAATCAACCGAGGCGAATGAGGTGCGCCACCCTGTATGTATGAAACATACACTGATTTGTTTTAACCCAACACATACAACCCAAATGTAAACAAACTGTTTATTTATTTAAAGTTTAATTTGACCACAGACTTAATATAATTACTCTATTTACTTCTAGACATGTAAATACCGACCTAAGGATGTCTCTTGCCGATATGGTATAATTTTTCAATAAGTTATGTTATTATATATTACTGATACAGAAACAAATAGACAATCAATAGATAAGGTACTCTAAATAAATAAAAACTGTAACCAAAGCATCTTTATAATTTAATGACATAACAAATTATTATAGGTACCGTATGATCGAATAAAAATGGTGTCAGCGATGGCTATTAAAGATCGCTGTCATTTTATATGTAAATTTATATGGGAAATGTCATCGATGTTCATTTCATAGCCATCGCTGACGCCGTTTTTATTCGATCATACGGTATTATAATCATATGTATATGATTTTAATTAATAAACTTTTTTCATAAATAACTATATAAAAACCTAGCATTTTTTGTTTACATCTGGTTTGTATATCTTCGGTTGTTTAGTTTTGTATAGTAAGGTTTGGGTCTATTTATATCATTTGTCTTTACTCACTAGTTTCGCATGTTGAAAAACAGGTAGTACTACAAGTATTGCGTGTAGTATTTTTCCCAACTAAATGCTTGTAATACAATATCAATTCGAGTAAATATGTAGATAGAATTGTGTATCCACGTCAAGTGTTAGTATTGTTTATGCTGCAGCGCAATCCAAAATACAAATACTCGTACACACCATAGCTTGGAAACCGTAGGACTTACCCAATTCTGGAAATGTTTCGTCTTTGACCAATAACGAGTCGTGTTCCTTTTCTCCTTTGGGATAGTAGATTTCCGCTTTGTCGTTGATGGTAGCCTCGATATGGCCGACGCGCATATGCGCTATATCATTGTATATGGCAATATTAACCACAAATTCCATTGGGGCTATCACACCGTAAGCTTCGGGACCTTTTTCAATAACCTATAAATAAATATAACACTATATCTTTGAATAAAAAGATTGAGGAAGGAGTCAATGACTCCAGAAAATGAGACCTAACCAGGATAATTATATGGTGAAATTTTGACAAAATAATTTAGTTTGACTAAGGACGCGTTAGGTTGCTAGTGGTAGGAAAAGTAATTTTTAGAAGTTGCTTTACGTAGTAATAATGTCTTTTAAATATATTTGACATAAATGTCAACTTGTCAATGAGAAATAGTAAAAAAATGGTTTTATTAAATTTAGAGGGTTCCATTTAAAAAAAATGAAACTTTGATGTGCCACGACTTTATGATCGACCCTATTGTATGTATACTTAAATTTATTACCCGCTAATAGATATTTAAAAAGTCTGTAACTTTTATATTTAACTTTTTGCGGTATCTCTTATGGTGCGTTTAGACTTGAGCACGCACGAGCTGAGCGTGCGCGCACGGCATTCGTTCGCGCTCTCGACTCCGTTCAAATTAAAAACTTATTTTTCGACGAATGAAGTGATCCATTTGTGCGCGCACAGCAGAGTTGTGTGGGCGAAAATAATGGACGACCAAGAAATAGTCGAGGCTGCAGTCATTGTTATGCACAGCTTAATTATTAAAAAGGAGAAAAATCGAAAACATCGTCGCTGGTGGCAAACCCACATTTTTAGAAATCGATATAATTTACTGCAACAACTTCCTGTCTGAGGAGGGCTATGATCAGTTCAAAAACTTTACAAGAATGACCAAACCCGACTTTGAATATTTACAAAATTTAATAACACCAAAAATTAAACAAAAGATACAAATTTTAGAATAGCAAATTCATTAATATCGACATATTCAATATTAATTTTATTTACAAGATCTTGCCATGCGTTTTTTTTTATTTTTTAATAATACAAAGAATGTTTAACATCCCATAATATAGGCAACTTTTCATATTCTTCAATTAATAATAACGAAGATTCATTGATCCCCTCCATAATTTTAATGAAGAAAACGAAAAAAAAATCACTCACGCACGCAGACAAAACAAATTGCCGGTGCAAACTGAGCGTTCGCGCACACATAAAATCCCTTTGAGCACGGACCAAAAACCCACACCAGACCGCTCACGTTCGCGGCTGTTCGCGCACATACAGATTCAGAGTGAGCGTGCGCGCACAGTCGTTTACACTTGAGCATTCGCGGAGGATCAGTGCGTGCGTGCTCAAGTCTAAAGGCACCATTATATTTTACCTAATAAACCGTTCCCATACATATCAGCGACCATGTATACTGGGTGGTCTGTACGGTGGCGGAACTGTATTCCGGAAACTTCGGCAGCATATTCTGCAGATAAAAATAAGTAAAAAAGTTCGTATAAATGTATGTCCTACATGCTTAGTTTCGGAGATACAGGGTGTAGAAATTTCATTTTTATTTCGATTTTTTCCAAATAATGTATGAAGTAATGTCGATATTTGGGATGAAAATTGGTGTCTGGGAGTTTTTTTGACATGAGAAATTTGATTCTGATGTTAATATGACTCCTATTTGTAGGAAGCGTCACCTACATGTGTTTTAACTTGTTTGAAGTGTAATAACTTTTTGTCCGTACCTGTATAAAAATTTTGATTAAAAAAATATACATTCACAACGTTTTTTACGTAAAAAATGCCTTTTGGTAAAAATTGCTACAAGTAATGGTTCTCGAGATATTTGGAATCGAAATTATCAATACCTATCATCATTGACATAAATTAAACATGTTGACTAAATAGTTATTAAACTGAAATTATAAACTTGACATTTTTTTGTGCCAAAAGTTCAACAAAAAACTGTTTTATCATCATTTTTTCGCAGAAAAACTTATGATTAATTAAAAAAAAATAAAAATTTACCATATTTATTATTTCAGTCAAATAACTGTCTACTCAGCGTGTTTATTTTTTGTCAAAAATGACATGTATTGACTATTTCCATTTTAAATATCTTGAGAACGGTTGCTCGTAGCGATTTTTTATAAAGAGACATTTTTTATGTAAAAAATCACGGAAATGTATATTTTTTCACTCGGTCGTCTTATACTGGTACCGACGAGAGAAAAGTTATTACTCTTCAAAACACTTAAAACACATGTAGGTGGCGCGGCGCCCCCTACAAATAGGAGTCATATTGACATTAAAATCAAATTTCTCATGCCAAAAAACTCCCAGACATCAATTTTCATCCAAATACTGATGTTACTTCAGAAAGTATTTGAAAAAAATCGAAATAAAAATGAAACTTCTACACCCTGTATCTCTAAAACTAAGCATTTTAGGACAAACTTTTTTACTTATTTTTATCTGCATAATATGCTGACGAAGTTTCCGGAATACAGTTTGGACCACCCTGTATAATCCCGGTTTGGAAACCCTAATTACAATCATTTGCACGTCAACTTTTTTACTGATTTTTCAGTAGCTATCGAGGACTTACTAGTGTATCCGAAACATTAGGATCAAACATCACAGCATTAGGGGTAACCAGCAGCACTCCACAGACAACGCCCTCCCCATCGGTAATGTGTCTGACGTTGATCTTGAGGAACCGCTCTCTGAACACCGATATGGGTTCATCTTCCTGTTCCGTCGACGAACCCTGGGTACATGACGGGGTCCGTACCCTCTCCACGTGACCCGGCTTCGGACTAACGGGCCTGAGATTATCCAACAGTTCTGGAAATATATAAATAATTTTAGTCAGTACATAGACAATACGAATCGATATTAAAATATTTATCAATGATTCAAATAGATGGCTATTCTGATTTTGCTCGTTGGTTGGCAATAAATTGAATATAACCCTTGATTGAAGGAATAAGAAGATGCGCAACCTTATAGGCGATTTCGTGGTACAAAACCTGTCCGAGATGTAGCTGGCGTTACCGTCAGCCTGTCCGAAATTTAGTTTAACGGGTTTAGCTCTGCGCGCTGATAGTCGTTTACAGCACAGCGGATAAAGAATACTGTACCGTAGCAGACCGTAGTTCCGCTGTTAAGCCGGAGTCTCATGCATCCGAAATCCGATGACACGACGATCCGACGGTGCTCCTATTGGTCGAAATATTTTGACACCAATTTTTTAGCGAACTGGTTAGCGAAACGACGTCGTATAAAGTTAAATTTTGTTTACTTTAATTTTGTTACACTTTTTTTGAAAACATTTGTTTTTAAAAACAAGTTTAGGGAGAAGTGGGCAATTTCGGGATATTTGGCGAGGAAGTTATTTTTATAAGTATTTCTCCAATAAAACATGACATGAATCTCTATTCAGTGCAGCAGAAAAATGTCAAAAGTGTCAAATTTCGGAACGAACTTTCGGATGTATGCGACAGGCCTTTTTTATTTCACAGGATAACTTCAAATTTCGGATGTCGTACCATCGGATTTCGGATGCATGAGACTCCAGCTTTAGTCGACAGAGTGAGTGGTTGCCGGAAACAATGTTGCCAGAACTACTGATTAATCCATAGATTTACGAATTTTGGGTACAGTACGTTAATAATACGGATTTTCTATCATTAAACAATTTAATATAATATTATATGATTAAATAAAAATCGGCGTCAAAGTTGGCTTGAAAATGAAGATCGCTGTTATTTCATATGTAAAATATTATGGTAGATGTCAATAACCGTCATTTCCAAGCCAACTAAACGACTTTTTTGATGATACGAAATATACAGTACCTATAAAAGAATTTTTGCGAAAATGCCGTGGAAAAATCCGAAAAAAATAGAAACCATTCATTTTAAATTTATGTTTTATTTCGTTACTAGACCTACGAGATGGCGCCACCGCTCGGTCCAGACCTTTGAATAAGAAGACTAGGGAAGGAGCATATCGAAAATCTTAGGTCCACCGCGATGGGCCTCAAATATGGCCGACTTAAATTCCGGTTTATCAGTGCCGTTCTAATTTTATTTAAAAAATGTAAAACTATGATGTAGGGTAGACATGGGGTAGACTCAATATTTTTTTTTTATTTTACGTTGTTAATAAATGTTGGTAGTTATTGAAATTGTTATAAAAATATAAAATTCTAATAAAAATAGATAAGTTATAATAATTATTTATAACCATAAACATCCGATACGCTACTGAAGTAGATAAGTCAAATTGACGTATCTAAATTCTTTGAAATCTAATCTTTGACGTAGTGAATCTATCATCTAGTTTTTAAGTAGTAAATAAAAGCAAAAATGCAAGAAAAAATATATAATTAGTTAATTTAAGTGAATTTCATAAATGATCCGTTTACTACACGTTTGTATATTATATAGTCACTTACTAGCGAAAAGTTGTTCCATTATTTCACTCGATTTTTGCCGAGATCTACCGCACGCTACACAACCAACTATTTTAGAGTCTTTTTCGATAGATCGCGATAGTGTCACTGTTAATTTAAGTTCTGCCACAATTTCCACCTAGATTTACTACCTTTATACAACTATCAGTAGTAGAATAAATAATAAATAACATAAAATAAGCTCCGTAATGACTGACAAATCCACAAAATTTCAAATCAAATTCAAATGTGTCAAATGAATCGTCAAACAGAACTGTCAAGGATCCCCACGCTGGAGTCCTTTTTCCGCCCACCATGCATGAATACATGGATAGCATTATGCTCCTTCCTTAGTCTTCTTATTCAAAGGTCCAGACGAAATGTATTGAGTTTCGTATCTATTTTATATTATAGTATCTTATCTATGGTTGGTGATCCGTCAAGTTATTTTTAAATCATTATTTAAATAATTATTAATTCAAATATTCCTGATTTGTCAGAAAGTTCGGTTATTTGAGTTTCTAGTTTGTGTTTTTATTCGTTTGTGCATTTTGATATTTTTTACAGGCGATCATCATTTTCGTGTTAGATACTAAACTTTTTTACCATAGACATTGTGACATTTTAGAAATAATAAATTTATGAACCAAATAAAAAAATAGTTTAATCATAAATAAGTAAGTACATAGTTAGTAATATAGTATTTTTAATAATAGTTAATTAGTGGTTTATAGCATTTTTACTATACTATTTTTTTCTGTTAAATCAAAAAATAGCTCTATTGTTGGAATTTAAAATATATGTATTCATAATTTTATTTTTGTTTTGACTGTTACACTTCTAATGAACTAATAAAACATGAATTTGGTAAAAGAGTAAATAAATAAAATATTTATTTTTGTAAAATATAAAATTTTAGAAGGAATAATTTTGCGCTTGAATAACGTTATAATTTTAATTAGCCTTAATAAGTAACGCAACGTTAAAATGTTATGCCAAAACTCTCCATTAGTTTCATCATGGCTCTAAATGACGGACATAGATTTGATACTAGTTAAACTTTGAGTTACGTAATTGCGGGCGCGATTTTTAAATTCATCGTTGCCAACCACGGACATATTCGGCGCCGGGCTGACTAACTGGAATTTAAATTTACCGCTGGGATTCAGGTGGTAGCTCTGCTGTAAAAAATGTTTAGATTCCGCATTTATTTATTTATTTCCTGACAATGTCATTCGTTTTGGCACTTTAGTTTTGTATAATACGAGTTTTTGGTCTAAATACATAGTGGTGTGATACTTTAAGCCTATAAATAGTTACTAGCAGACCTTGCAGTTAAACACTGTTCTTTTTAGAACCTCTTTTAGTGCGAAGTGTACAGGATTACAGGATAGCTTAATAGCCCTTGCAAAAACTCATCGCAACCTTATTAGAATGTTTTGAACGGGAAAGCGGTAGTAATAGCCCTTTATGTCCCTTAAGTGATGTTAAGAAGGTGAGTTTTGTTGATGTAAATAATAACTGTTTATATATTTATAATTAGTTTATTTTTGTTTCCTAAAATATTTTTATTAAAAGAAAATATGCAAAAGTGGGCAAAGCTGTGCTGGTCAAGCTTAATCACGTGACTAAAAGTTTATTTGATGAAGTTTTATATAAAGTATAAATCCTATTTTAAACTCAGTCTGTACGATCAAAAACTAATAAGCAATTGAATATTAGGAAAATAAATAATAGTAATGGTTATTTTTATATTCTCAGACATAGTATAGACGAGAGATAAAACTGCCAACTCATAAACTAAAAATATTAAAAACACCCACGCTTACCTGGCATTTAAATTTAAAATTATCCCAACCTGCAGACCGTCTTCATTATGGTCTTAATCCAAAATAGATTTGTTTTTAGTTGCAATCAATCAAAATCACTTTAGCGACAACAACGACAACAATATGGACTACTGAAAAGTTAAATGTTTATTTCGAACGTTTCCACAGCTGTATTAACGGAGTAGCTTATGGTACATACTGATAAGGATTTTTTTTACGTATTTCCCGTCAAACAAATGTAGGAAATATAAATTTCATATTAGCGAAAAGATTTTTCCAAGCGCAAGGACACACACATGCTTTACCAATTATGTAAATATGAAGCTTGAATTTACAATTTACGAATTATTTGCAGATGCATTTTTGATGTTATGAACATTTTTCAAGGTTTCTAACTTTTGTAGATAACGCGACAAAATGTATGCCACTCAAGATACCAATAAATATATCCGATAAAAATGGTTGTAAATTTTAATCATCATGTTTTAATCTTCTATATTCTAGAATAATAGGTGTCCCTGAGTGAGCATTCTTTAAAAGTTCTTCAAAATAAAGGGTGATTCACGGTGATGGTAGGTTAGATGTTTATGAAAAACCAGTAATTTGATTTTTTTGAAAATACGGAAACAGTAGCTTTTTTCGTTTTCCTGTTATTACCGATTCTGAACCGTCCTAGAACTCTGCAGCGCATGCGCAAATGAAATAATGTCTTCATTTTTCCTTCTGCGCATACGCATCACAGTTCTAGGACGGTTCAGAATCGGTAATAACAGGAAAACGAAAAAAACTAGTGACAGTTGCTTTTCAGGCGGAGTGTGTACCTTTTGGGGATTAGTTTTAGGGGGGAAAATTGTACCACTATGCTCGGCCAGCTTTGGCTGAAAAAATAGCCCCAAATGGCTGAAAAATCAGTTTTTCGCAAATATCTGCCAAAATATGCAATTTACAAAATTTTTCTTGAAATAAAAAATGAAGCTTAATAATTACCTACAAAATGGCCCTTATCATTTTTTACGTAGAATTGGTAGTTTTCGAGATATTCCACCTTGAAGATCCCTAAATTTTCTCTCAAAGTTTTAACGTTCCGAAGATAGATTTCATAAGCGTATTATTGACTGATAGACAAATTGTTTAATAACTCGGCTAAAATTTAATATCTTTTGATGATTGAAAGTTCATTTAAGAGGTAGAACCAACAGCTATCACATTTTGGAACTGGTTTGAATTTTGCCATATTTTATGATAATAAAAAAACTGGGCAAACCAATCCTTGGCCCAAAAATTTTGAGATTTTTATAAAAATATTCTGGCGCAGGAATTTACTGCAGCAGTCCAGAGACTGAGATCTACCACAGTCTTGGAAAACACACCACAATTTTCCAAGGTATTGAAACCTGTGTGCAACTGCTGATAGAACAGCAATACACCGGGAAAACAATATGCATATTTTCGCATAGTCAAGACGCGTTGAACACTTGAGGTAACGAAAAGCACGTCTATGACGATTCTTCATTGTAAGAAACTACTCAATGTAATAGGAGATAGGAACAAAGTGTCGTTGATATGGATACCTTGACATGTCGGCCTAGAGGGAAATGAACGTGCTAATTCCCTCGTCAAAATTGGTGCAGGCTCGCCCATTCGTGGGCCCAGAACCGACACTTAGCGTTCCAAAAAATCTCGCAAGAGACAGGCTCTGTGAATAGGTTAGGGGTGCGACGTTCCGGGACTGGAATGACAGTCCCGGAATGGAACATGCCAAGAAAATCCTAGCAGGGCCATCCAAACATAGAACAGGAGGACTCCTAAAGGCTGGTAGAAATGGAGCGTATTATTGACTGATAGACAAATTGTTTAATAACTCGGCTAAAATTTAATATCTTTTGATGATTGAAAGTTCATTTAAGAGGTGTAGAACCAACAGCTATCACATTTTGGAACTGGTTTGAATTTTGCCATATTTTATGATAATAAAAAAACTGGGCAAACCAATCCTTGGCCCAAAAATGTTCAGATTTTTACAAAAATTTTCATATTTTCACTAATAATAGCTTATTTGTCAAGATTTTTTTTGCGGGTGCCAGGTATCACAAGCACTGTCATACACAATTTTATACACACAGTCCCTAGACCATCAAGGGGCGTAGGACGTCCCTTAGATGCTGATATTTCAGACCAAATGGTGAAGGTCAATTATATCCGGGAAAATGGACAAGAACAATATACTCTGATAGATATTGCGGGTAATTTCGAACTTTTATCATTGATTTCTAACTCCTCACCAACATCTCAAACATCAAGAAATGTTTGACCGTTTTTTTATTATCATAAAATATGACAAAATTCAAACAAGTTCCAAAATGTGATAGCTGTTAATTGTATCTTTTAAATGCACTTTGAATCATCAAAAAATATTAAATTTTAGCCGAGTTATTAAACAATTTATCCTATCAATCAATAAGACGCTTGTGAAATCTATCTTTGGAGCGTTAAGACTTGGAAAGAAATTTGAGCGATCTTCGAGGCGAAATATCTCTAAAACTATTAATTCTATGTAAAAAATTATAAGGACCATTACACCTAAGCTTCATTTTTTATTCCAAGAAGAATTTTGTAAATGACATATTTTGGCAGATATTTGCGAAAAACTGATCAAAAAAGCTGGCCGAGTACAGTGTTACAATTTTTCCCCTAAAACTACTCCCCAAAAGGTACACAATCCGCCTGAAAAGTCCCGGTCGATGAATTAAGCCGTGGTTTCAACCTTCATTTACTAGACTATTCTTCTTCATGCGCCTCCTCCTCATCGGAGGTCGGCCACCATCAATTGGAATTCCTCCCTGTCTTGGGCCAAACGGATAATTGCACTGGTCTCTCTTATATTAAACCACTGGCGCAAATTACGCAACCAGGAGAACCGTTTACGCCCGATGCATCGTCGTCCTTCAATCTTTCCCTCAACAATGAGCTGTAGGAAACTATATTTGTTATTCCTGGACTATTAGTACCACATTATTACGGAAAACGAATTTCAATATCGTCAAAAAATTAATCATATTATTTAAATTTTGATTGCTGATATGGTAAATATTCGAATTTCTTAAATTTATTGCCAACCACACGAGCAAAATCAAAATAACCAACTATTTCAATCGTTAATGATCGTTCCATAGATTATGTCAAAGAGAATGGACCAATGGAACAAAAACAAAAAAAACGATGAAACCACCAGTGCTGAGTAAAACTGAAATTTTCAAGTAACGGTAACTTTTCCAACTGTTATTTAAAAATATCAGTTTTACCAACCTCTGAAACATAACAGCACTTACCTTTCTCTTCTGGAGGTAAATCATCATGAGTATCTTCAACAGGCGTCGAACCTTCCGATTCGTTCTCACTAGTCTCCCTAAGTGGTACGTATAATTGCTGACCAGGAAATATGTACGGTGTGCCTAACCGATTTAATTTGGTCAGTTCGGATGGTGTAGTGTCGAACCTGGCAGCTACCGACGTCAATGTATCTCTGTCGGCAACCTAAAATAAGTAGATTATTTTTAGGGTATATGGGACTGGAATAAAGATAATACACTTAATTTAATTAACTAAACAAATTAATTTAATAAACATTTTAAGATTGGGTTTGGGCAACTCTTTGTATCCCTCAGCTCTGCAAAGCAACAAAGATACCGCTACTGAGAAAATTACTGTTTGTTCTGGGTTTTACCGGAGAGCATTTTAACTTAAGAATATTGAATAAACACAATTTAAATATTTACGTTAGTTAATTTGTTGACACATAATGACATTCAATGAACTTTAACTAAGTTTTCTTACAGGAACGTTGACATTTCTTGTGAAGGATTAAAATATAGAACCCTTAATTATACCGGGTGCATCTCAAAAGTGGCAGAAGTGGTTCACCCCTATAACTTTTTTATTTTTTTTTAGATAAAAAATCAAGCTTTAGTATATTAGTATATATCATAAATTAAGATTGATCGACGTGTTCAATTGTTTTAGGTCGCTTCCTGTTTCACCGGAAATGGCTACAACTTTCAATTTTTTAATAGCACCCTCAGTATTTTTTTACTTTATTCAATAGAAAATGACGCTCTGAATAGAATGACGTATCACATGCCAACATTTGACATTTTCGCTTTAAAAAATCGTATTTTAAATTTCAATCTAGAGTGCCATTTCTAATGTTTTTCGTGTTTCGTCCTGGCCGGTTAAAAGACGCCCAAATCGTATTTTTAATTATATCTTAATTTTTTCAAATGGAACAAGGGTGGCTCATTAGCATATTTGGAAAAAGCATTTTTTACGAATAAGTTGGTACCATACACCTCTTTCGAGTCAAATTGTCGTTATGAACCGCATGTTACATTTTGCATTACATTTGTTAACCATATACGAAAATGTCAAAAGTTGACATATAATATATTGTTCCATTCAGAGTCATTTTTTATGGAATAAAGCAAAAAAATACTAAGGGTGTCATTTAAAAATCAAAAGTTGTAGTAATTTCCGGAGAAACAGGAGGTGACCAGAAACAACTGAACACGTCAATCTATCCTAATTTATGTCACATACTAAAATACCAAATCTCGTTTTTTTATCTGAAAAAATAAAAAAGTTATAGGTGTGAGCCACTTTTGAGACGCACCCGGTATTGGATTATGATTTCCTATTCTTCTTCAAGGACCAAACGGATATTCATAACTTCGAACATCTTCAACAAAATAAATGACTTTTACACAACAATAATCACCAAAACCACCTCGGCATTATGAAGAATAATATCAAAAAGTAGCAATAATTATTGAAAACATTAAAAAATGTTTGTGGCAAGTCCATTTTAATTTTAAAAATTAATTAAGGCATGTGTTGACATGAGTCAAAAAACAAAATATTCAGGAGACATGGTTCTGACCGAAAAATAATGTTTCAGAATTCAAAATTTGCTCATTAAATAATTGCACAGGGTGTTTTAAAGATAGGGTAAAAAAACAACTCTTCCATTAACACTGTATCAAATACTAAAGTTCATAATAAACTGAGTTTACAAAATAAATTTAAAAGAATTATTTATATTATTATTAAAAAATTATAAATAAAACTTACTGTGTATGTGGTCGTGTTTTCCGGAGGTCCTGTTCTTCTTCTCTCCGACAAACTGTTCGTCGAACCATCGAGATCTGTCATAAAATAGTTATTTAATAAACATCAACTGACCAGTTAGTAACTATAAAACCCAACCTTCATCGGCAAAACATCTATTTTTATAATAAATCACGATAAATTTAGTCGGACCGCCAATTCTTTTTATGAGAACACACGGCGACGGTTGACACATGTCAAAATAACTGCCAACAAATGTTAAAGTCATCAAATACGATACAATAAATATAGAACCGCTCGCGCTCTAGGAAGAGACGGTATCATTGTATACATGTGATAAAATTCACAGTATACTAATTAACATATTCTGTAAAATACGTATGTATCAAAATTTTCCTTATTTCATAATGTAATGATACTATTAGAACAATGCGAACTGCACTTACTGAACCATAATAACCTACAAGAAAAGCACACCGATGAAAAAATATTCTCATGATAAAGGAAAAGTCTACAAAGGTGTCCACGACAAAAGTCAAAACTTCAAAACAATATCATGTGAAGTCGTAAACATCGGCAATTATTAGGTAAGATAAAAGTGTCAATGATAAGGTAGCGACTAGGTACTTATTTTTAATACACGCGATCAGTGGCGCTCATATCTCTACAGTAAGAGGAGGAATATTTTTTACCGAATCTTATGTATTTATTAGGAGTGAAGTTTTTTAATTGATATCACTTATAAAAAAATGGTCAAGTGCGAGTCGGACTCGCGCACGAAGAATTCCGTACCATTCATTATCTATACAACATTAGACACTATATTATTATAAACTTTTTTTCCGATTTAGCTGAAATTTTGAATGCGCGTATAAGTAATTTAAAAATAAATAAAGAAACACATTACTAAATATTGTATTAAGCAATAATAAATATGTAAAAAGTAAAAATAAATATGTAAAAATTAAAAAAAAACGATTAAAAAAAGTCGCCTTGACTAGGATTCGAACCTGCCTTACTACGGCTCCAACGTCATAGCAGCGTAAAGTCCTAACGCTTTAACCACGCGGCCACCGAGGACTTGAAAGATTCTATGTAAAATTCTTACTTAAAAGATAATGTTTAGTGAAAGTAGGTACTTTTTTATTTATAAACATTTATTTAATTCTGTTTTTAGTTTACGGTTGAGGGTTGGAACCTTTGGTGTTACACAGCAATAAAATTACACTAAATCACCACAATACACCAAAACACTTTTTACTTTTACACTGGACTGGAGTTTATAATCATCTGCTGATGATGCTAACATGGTTAGCGAAACGCGCGTCCAGTGTAAAAGTAAAAGTGTTTTGGTGTATTGTGGTGATGTAGTGTAATTTTATTTTTCTGTTTTTAGTATTTGTTCTTACAGCGGCAACATAGATACATTATCTGTAAAAATTTCAACTGTCTATATAGCTATAACGGTTCATAAGATAGACCTTTGTGACAGACGGACGGGCGGACAGCAATAGAGTTCCTGTTTTTACCCTTTGGGTACGGAACCCTAAAAAACAACAAAACATCCAGTATATAGAAGCCTCAATTAACACAAAACCATAAAAATTTCTCAGCGGAAATGCATCATTCTCTTTTTTTCCGACTTTATTAGATTAATTGAAATCAGTTACATGAAAACGTGTTCCTGCTTTACATTCTAAACACTTTTCTTGTGTAGGTATTATAACCTAGTAGATACTGTAATTTAGACATCAATACCGAACCGAGATAAAACAAAAATAAACAAAAATGAACCAAAAAAACAAAAACCAAACCAAAACAAAGCTAACCAAAGCAATCAAAACACGCTGTAAGCTAAAATGCGTCTGTTTATGAATTCCTATTGCCGAGTTCTTTTCGAATCTTGCTGTATTTTACAATATTTTATCAATAAATGAAAATGGTACACTTCCCCATGATGTTTTTTTTTGCGTTTCTATGTTTAGAAAAATTTCTAAAATGAAAAACAGAAACGTGTTTTCATGTAACTGGTTTCAGCTATTCTAAATGCATGCATTTCCGCAGAAAAGTTTTCGGGACTTATTATTTGGAAAGGCTTCCAAGTACTAAATAAATAAATATTTTTTACATAACTGATTTTAGCCAAACTAAAGTAACCCCGATTTCAGCAATTCTAAAGTTGAAAAACTAAAAATGATGCATTTGCGCAGAAAATTGTTTGTGACACACTATTGAAAAAGGCTTCCAAATACTAAATAAACAAATATTTTTTAAATAACTGATTTCAAGTAAACGAAAGTAGCTCTGATTTCAGCTATTCTAAAGTTGAAAAACTCGAGGGATGGACTTCCGCAGAACATTTTTTATGACATACTATTCGAAAAGGCTTCCAAATACTACATAAACAAATATTTTTTTAAACCAAACCAAACTGATTTCAAGTAAACGAAACTTGAGCCTTTATTAGTTTTTGGATTCTAGAAAGAAAATTGACAGTAGTTTCATTACAGAAGTTTTTGTCTCATTTTTATCATTTTCTTAATTTTCTTCTTATCACGCCCTCTCCTGCCTAAAGTTGGTGATCCAAATGGCAATTGTGTTCTATACAGTTCAGTAACTAACATGAAAATGAAGACCGAATGGCCTTACTTATGATATTATAAACATTGTACAAACACTAAATATCATCAGACCAAAACTTAGCTTAACATCGATGGCATTTTCTCTAGCCTGCAACAGGTGCTCGAACGTACAGGAAACTGAACACTGAGAGCACTGAGAGCAGTCATATAAATGTTTGGTGGTTTCCGTACTTATCTGTATACTTAGTATGTGAGATATATTTTTAAAAAGATCCCTCCCGTAGATCCGCCTCTGTTTTATAGACATCGGATAAGGATGTATCAGGTTTATAGTGTTATCGAATTCTGCTGACTGAAATATTAGACGAAGTATTTTAATGTCTCTGACATCATCGAAGGTTGTCTGATCATATTCCATCGTATCTTCTAAATATTCTAAAGTCCCGTCTACACAGGTCGGTCAAGTTTGCCCCCCGTATTAGAGGAAATTCAAAAATAAATATACCACTATTTTGCACACATTTTGCACAATTTTGCACATCATAAATTATATTTTGCACACTTACCTAAGAGAAACCAGGGCCGTTTTTTAAACGGGGAGCAAACTTGACCGTTCCCCCCCATTTGTTACGAAATTGATTTATTTCTATGTACATCGGTTCTGCCAATTTTGCACAATTTTGCACACCTGTTTTTGAATTTTGCACACCCTTCTGACGAAAGTTATAAGCGGTTAAAAATTTGAAATTTCCCCCCCATCTGTGACTAAATTGAATTTTGTTTATATCAAACGAATCGGCTAATTTTGCACAATTTTGCACACCTGTTTTTGAATTTTGCACACCATCCTGATTAAAGTTACGAAGGTTTGAAAATTTGCAATTTCCCCCCCATCTGTCACGAAATTGAATTTTGTGTATATCAAACGAATCGGCTAATTTTGCACAATTTTGCACAGCTATTTTCGAATTTTGCACACTCTCCTGACAAGAGTTATAAGAGTTTGAATATTTGAAATTTGTCCCATTGTGTGTGAAATGCCCCATTTAAAAATACATAAGTATGAGTCATATTTCGAAAATGATAGATCTCAGCGACGTGAAAAACTGCACGGAACTTAGATTTCACCTTTTCGATAATTTATAGCTTGCATAGAAGAACATTTATGAACCTAAAGATTCTGCACATAGATTTGTCCTAGCCCTCTTACTTCCTGAAATACCTGGCAAATTTGAAAATTTTGCATTTTTCGACAACCCGCATATCTCGGTTATCGTATAACTTATCGAAAAGGTGAAGTCTGGGTTCCGTACACTTTTCCACGTCGCTGAGATCTATCATTTTCAAATATGACTCATACTTATGTTTTTTAAATGGGACAATTCACAACAAAATGGGACAAATTAAAAGTAGCTGTGCAAAATTGTGCAAAATTAGACAATTCGTTTGATATAAAAAGGGGGGAATTGCAAATTTTCAAACCCTCATAACTTTCGTCAGGAAGGTGTCCAAATTTTAAAATAGGTGTGCAAAATTGTGCAAAATTAGCCGATTCGTTTGATATAAACGAAATTCAATTTAGTTACAGATGGGGGGGGAATTTTAAATTTTCAACCCCTTATAACTTTCGTCAGGAGGGTGTGCAAAATTTAAAAATAGGTGTGCAAAATTGTGCAAAATTAGCTGAATCGATGTACATAGAAATAAATCAATTTCGTAACAAATGGGGGGGAACGGTCAAGTTTTCCCCCCGTTTAAAAAACGGCTCTAGTTTCTCTTAGGTAAGTGTGCAAAATATAATTTATAGTGTGCAAAATTGTGCAAAATGTGGGCACAAGAGTGGTATATCTCTTTTTGAATTTCCTCTAATACGGGGGGCAAAGTTGACCGACCTCGTCTACACGTTACGTTTTACCCTCTGTTTTACGTGTCAGCAAACGAAAAAACCACTCAATATTTCAATTTTTTCCTCATACAACTAGCTACCACAAATTATTTCTACACGTTGTATTGACAAAAGCCAGTATTTTAGACGGTTTTACAGAGGTTAGTTCTACATCAGTCGTACCAAAGTTTATGGCGCGAATCTTTGTCGTCTCGGCGTACTCAGTTATGAGGTGTTCTGGAGTTTTCCCCATTTTCCCCACAGAATCTACATTCGTAAATCCTGAGAAATTTCTTCGAATGTCTTAGACCGTTGGAGGATTTCCTTTCCAGGTTACGAATGGAGTCTTCCAGGTTCTTGAGTTCTGCTTTACGTTGGTTTCAACTTGGGAAGCAGAAAGGTTCTGGTCCAGTTAGTGGTATTCATTTCTTTTCAAGCTAGATCGTTTGCTAAGTAGAAGGACTTTATTTTCTTTGCCTAATTTGTTCAGGTTCTCTAGGCACTCTTTGGCTAACTTCGAATTGATAGTTACTGACTTGACCGCTCATAAGGCTGCTGGAATTGGCCTTAGCCCACGGCCACATAGAAAGCGTTTTTTTGCGTTTTTAGCGTGAAGCGTCTCGCAAAAAACGCTAATGAAAACAAATCAATTTGTTTTCATTTGCGTGTAGCGTCTTTAGCGAATTCTAAGATGAGACCCCGTCATATGCGGACGTAATATTTAATAATACAATAAAAATAAATTAAAGAGTATGCATTTTTTTTTCATTTTAGGGTACCTATTATCTAAGAATATTTTTATAGGGAACATCTACTGTTTATATAGGAATATTCTATTAAAATCAGGAATTTGAAGGAAATGTTTGAAAAAGTGTAGTTTGAAATGTTGGAAAGCTAATAAATTAAAGGACTTTTTATGTGTAAAAAGTGTGTTTTTATGCGTAGAAAATGTTTTTTATGCGTAAAAATGTTTTTTTTACGCGTAACAAATAGTTCTTTATGCGTAACAAATAGCTTTTTACGGATAACAAATAGTTTTGCAAGTGCAAAGAATAGTTTTTTTGCGTAAAAAATATTTTTTTACCGGTAGCGAGTAGTGTTTTACGAGTAAAAAATATTTTTTTCTCCGTAAAAAAGTTTTTTAACAGAAACAAATAGTTTTTGACGCGTAAAAATAGTTTTAAAAAAGGTTTTTTACCAGAAACAATCAGTTTTTGACGCGTAAAAAATAGTTTTTTAGGTTAACTGTTTTATTCGCGTAAAATAAAAAATAATAAAATATTTTTTACGTGTAACAAATTATTTTTTATGTGTAACAATAAAAAAACAATAAAAAAAAGCATGCGACGTTACTACTAGACATCTGAATAGAAACTGCAGACCTGCCGCTTCTTTTGCGTGTATTTAATGGACACAAATCGAAAAAATGCTTCAAACAGTAAAATCGCAAAAAGCGCTTGACACGCAAAAAAAACGTAAAACGCAAAAAAAGCTTTCTGTGTGGCCGTGGGCTTAAGGTTGCTTGATATTTCTACACACACACCACTATGAGCAACTAAAGTAACCAAAGCAACTAAGTTAACATTGTTTTGAAAAAATCTCTGTGTGACAGACAAACCCGATAGTATTCTTATAAACATGTATTCTGTTTTCTCTTGTGAAAAGACAGAAACCTAGTAATAAATTAAATTAATTTATTGCAAAACATTTATTCATCTTTTGTGATCAAACTAACAAAGAATTTCTTTTAAGATAATTTATCTTCCAAACAATAGCATCTAAAACAAACAATTTAAGATGTTTTTAATTAATATACTGTCTCGTCCTGTCATCTTGATATATTTATATCTCTAAATATCCGTCTGAATAAATCATTCCTTTCGTTTATAAAATAAATAGGCAATCTTCTCTAGGTATTTGTATAGATGTTAGATATGAACCATCAAGATCAATAGAAGTGTGTTTGGGTTTCTTTTTATACGGTCTGTCTAAATAGAACGCTCAATTTAATATTAAATTCTAAAAAAAGAAGGACATGACGCTTATGTGTGAATTTATGGTAATTTTTGGGAACGTCATAAAAATATAAAATAGATACTTTAAACAGGCCTTAAAAACAATGTTTATAAGATTCTTGAAAAAACAGAGCCAAATCTAATTTATCCCATAATATGGCCATTATGACATACAAGGTGTTTCAAAAAACATGTTTTATGTCAACATAGTTTCGATTCTACTTTGTTTTGTAGCTACAGGGGGTTAAATTCTTTCGATTTATTATAATTTTCTTAAGCAAAAACATGTGCGCCACTGATTTTTTCTTTTGTTAGAGATTTTATCTTATTGTTCTTATAGGTAATCTTCTTAGGTCCTCTGGGAAAACAATACCAGGAAAATATTTACACATTTATTTGAGAAAGGCGCTGTCTGGCTATTTCTTCGATGAAGGTTGGGTTTTCATAATGAAATAAAATGTTTTAAAATAAGAAAAATGATGTTACCTCTGTCGATGGGAACTTGGCTTCGAAGATGAGCTAAATCATATGGCGATGATATTCCGTGGTCAACGCTTCGACTTTTGCTCCTAAAACCAAAGAAAATATATTCAATATTTTTTTAAACTAGTAATACATATGAACAAAATAAGATTTTGCTTTGTAAAACTTCAAAGAAGTAAATACAGGGTGGTCCGAACTGTATTCCGGAAACTTCGGCAGCATATCAGCAGTTTCGGAGATACAGGGTGTTGAAGTTTCATTTTTATTTCAGTTCTTTTAAAATAATTTCTGAAGTAACGTCAATATTTGGATGAAAATCGTTGTCTGGGAGTTTTTTGACATGAGAAATTTGATTTTGATGTCAATATGACTCCTACTTGTAGAGGGCGCCACCTACATATTTTTTATCTGGTTTGAAGAGGAATAACTTTTCGTTCGTACCTGTATAAAACTAATGAGTAAAAAAATATACATTTTCGAGTTTTTTTTTACGTAAAAAAAGTCTCTTGGTAAAAATTGCTAGGAGTAATGGTTTTCGAGATATTTGGAATCGAAATTATCAATACCGGTCATCATTGACATCTGTAAATTAAACATGCATTTTGACTAAATAGTTATTAGACTGAAATCATAAATTTGAAATGTTTTTGTGCCAAAAGTTCCACAGAAACTGTTTTATCATCATTTTTTCGAAGAAAAATTTATGATTAATTTAAAAAAATAAAAAGTTCCCAAATTTATCATTTCAGTCAAACAACTATCTACTCAATATATGTTTATTTTTTGTCTATAATGACATGTATTGACTATTTTCATCCTAAATATCTAGAGAATGGTTACTCGTAGCGATTTTTACGTAAAAAATCACGGAAATGTATATTTTTTCACTCAGTAGTTTTATACAAGTACGGACGAAAGGTTATTAGTCTTCAAAACAATTAAAATACATGTAGGTGGCGCTTCCTACAAATAGGAGTCATATTGTCATCAAAATCAAATTCCTCATGTCAAAAAACTGCCAGACACCAATTTTCATCCAAATATTGATATTACTTCACAAATTATTTGGAAAAAATCGAAATAAAAATGAAACTTCTACACCCTGTATCTCCGAAACTAAGCATTTTAGGACATACATTTATACGAACTTTCTTACATATTTTTATCTGCAGAATATGCTGCCGAAGTTTTCGGAATACAGTTCGGACCACCCTGTATAGTACGAAGTTTTTACAGGTTTTTATAGTTTTTTATATTTTGCATATAGAAGTAGAAACAAAAACAGAGAAGAGAAATTCATTTTTGTATCCGTTAGAACTTAAAACCAATTCTGAAAGCAGTCATTCCACTCGCTTGTTGGTCTTGGTACTTCCAAAATTGAGTTTTGAAGGCGCTGACTGCATCTTCTGGGGACTGGAACGTTTGACCACGCAGTTCATTCTTAATTTTTGGAAAAGTAAAAAAGTCTGTTCTTCATGTCGTTCTTTTCTGATCACTATACGTACAGCATCGACGTTTGCCTGTGTGACTGCCGTTGTTGGGGGACCTGTCCTTGGATCATCGCTTCAAGACTAATCCGTCCAAGTTTCAATTCTCCACACCAACGAGAAATTACCAACTGTTTTGATGCGTCATTGCCGAAAACAGAAACCAACTCAGCAAGGCAATCTTGTTGAGACAACTGTCTTCGAAATTGAAAAAAATATTGCGCGTAATTATCGACATAATTCCATTTTTCGACTGACTCGTCAACTTCAAAAAGTCAGTTTAGGTACAGCTTGAACGAAGCAATTTAAAACTTTGGCGTTAAGTTAACTAAAGACGACAGTTAATTTTGACATTTGATATATGTCGACAGGCGCCTACTATGTTTCAATATGCAAAATATAAAAGACAACCATCGAATATAGTATATGTTAAGAGTCTACTATGCTGTAATTTCGGGTCGCTCTCAGGGGTCGGGTAAAGCTGGAGTGTGAGAAAAGGGAATATATATTCAAAAATCTGCCTAAGGGCTTAGCCCGATCCTGTCGTGTTAGAATTTAGAATTTAGAATGAGTGGGAGGGGGGTTAATCACTTCGACCTTACAGATCCATTGTGTCCCCCTTTTTTGAATCATAACTCATCATACAGTCCCAGGGCTTTGACAAAAGCCAGTATCTGGGACGGTTTTATAGAGGGTAGTTCTCCATCTCCAATATCAGTCGTACCAAAATTCATGGCACGAATGGTTGTCGTCTCGGCGCACTCAGTGATGAGGTGTACTGGTGTTTCCCCATCTTCCCCACAGAATCTGCATTCGCCGTTTCTTCTTAGTTTCAATCTACTGAGGTGTTCATTGAGGAGACAGTGTCCTGTTAAAACCCCGTGACAATCCGAAGATTGTTCTTACTCAGACCCAGGAAGATCTGTGATTTTTCTTGATCATAAGCCCTCAGAAACTTCTTCGAGTGTCTTAGACCATTGCAAGATTTCCATTCCAGGTTGCGGATGGAATCTTCCAAGTTCTTGAGTTCCGCCTTGAGTTGGTTACCACTTGGAAAGCAGAACGGTTCTGGTCCAGTTAGTGGAGTGTTCGCTCCTTTCCTAGCTAGATTATTTGCTTTTTCATTGCCTTTTATCCCTTGGTGAGCAGGCACCCAGTGTAGGAGGACTTTATTTTCTTTGCCTAATTTATTCAGCTTCTCTATGCATTCTTTGACCAATTTCGAATTGATTGATACTGAGTTGATCGCCTTTAACGCTGCTTGACTATCAGATAAGATGGCTATTTCTTGTTTCCGATAGTTCCTATCTAAGATAAGTTGTACGCACCTGTCGTGTTAAACCACATTCAAAATAATTCATACTCAAAATTCCAAACACACGTGCTTTAATTAAGACTTCATTGAGGTTTGCAGAGCTTCAGCATTTGCCATAAAATAGCGAGCAATTTGTTACAAAGCCATATAAATTATATATCACTGTAATCACAAAATTTCAATCTATTTTCGTATTGTAACGGAATTTTAAATTATGTCTTTATTTTCGAGAAAATTTAGTCCAAACATAAGGAATATTTTGTTGATGTTTGGCCATCAAAATCTTAAAAATAAAGAAGTTGTCTAAAAATGTGCTACAATACGGATATGGTATAATTCCTTATCTTTCATTTCCTTCTTCATTTGTGTAAAAATACCTAGCCACTTTTACATAAAACGTTAAATTCTAAACGCTTATTTTGCTACTTTTGCCGACCGAGAGTGAAATGAACTCTTAACAATATGTTGGTTATAATCCCTTCGCGTGACACTCAGTACTGAAAATTATTTAGTAACGTTCATTTGGAACAATATGCGGTTGATGAAGCTTTTATTCGCGGTAAAATCAAATCCGGAATTGCATGTCCGCTTTGACATGTCGAATATTACTTCGCATATGAAAATTGACAGTCGTTTAGTTATATTGTGACAAGCATAGTTGGGACAAAACAATGCTCCCTTGTTTTCCGAGATTTAAATTAACGGTTGGTATCAGAAAATAGTGTATAACAATGGTAGCATTTAAAAGGAAAGTAGATCTGTTTCGATTCTGCTATATTTATTTTTCTGTCATGCTTTATAATAACACTGTGCTATGTTACACTATATTACTACTAAAAACCATTACTAGAAACATTTGAATAAAATAATTAAGGAAGGTGTATAATGATGACATTCATGTATTCACGCATTACAGCCATTTTTGATAGTTCTGTTTGCCGTTTCAATTGACATATTTGAATTGGATTTGAAATTTTGAGTGTGTTGTGCTTTTCTGAGCTCTTTTTATGTTATTTATTATTTATTGTACAGAGTGTTCCAAATTGGACACTTTTAAAGGGAAACATCCTTTTCTATAGGAACTACACGAAAAATAATATCGGTGTCTGGAGCTTAATTTTATCAAAAACATGATGGTAAAAACCGCACATCGATATCTGTTACCGTTTCGGAGTTACGGGGTGTTTTTTAAAAATGTGCATTTTTAACAAATGGCTGTAACTTTGTCGCTACGGAAAATTTTGTATTTTTATGAAAACATTTTCAAAGCACTTTTTTACGTAGAATTGAATGGTTTAAGTATATTTTTAAAATTAATAATTTAAGAGGTATCAACAGAAAAACTGTTCTTTTTTTATTTCGGACACCCTGTATATTTCAAAAATATAGGACAGTTGATATTTTGTTCGAGTCCCCTTCGAAATACAAAATTTTTAAAAGTTCGCCACTTTTAATTAGTAGGTTCTGGATGCGTTATTGATGATCTACGCCTAATGAAACTCGAAAACATTTTTCCAACAAGACGAGGCACCGCCTCAGAACGATGAAATTATCAGCAATTTTTGCAGCTAATTTCGAGAATAATTGAATAGCTAACCAAGGTCCCAACCGTTGGCCGATGAAGCCGCCGGACTTGGATTTTTACCTTTGAGGAAGACTAAAGATTCTCATTTTAAAATTGCCCGTATACGCTAGATAAGAATTAGAAGTACTTAGCGATTATGTAAGGATATCTTTCACCCCCACTGAGTTAATGATTCCGTGAAAAATGTTTAGAAACAGTCCAGTCTATGCATAAGAGAAGACGGTTGATATTTCGAACACCTCCAGTAGCAACATCTCATGTCTTGGTTTGCTATTTATTATTATTGTTATTAGTAAGTCTGCCGTTAGTAGTCTAGTAGTAGAATTATAGTTTAAATGTGTTGTTGTTGTTAATATACACACAATCAAACTTATATGGAATCACTCTTTATTTTTGACTAAATTTCTTGTAAGGATAAAAATTGGTATACAACTTTAAGATAATGCTTTTTGTTGTAAATAAACCTGATAATAAAGAATAAACGACTGCCGCCATTTATTTTCTTTTGAATTTTGTGTTCAGTAGGAAAATCACGATTGTCCGGTAATTTTCATTCGATCCAAAAAAATAAAAAAATGCCTGATATTGGATTAACAGATATATAGAGGGGAAGAATTATTGCTCTCACCGAACAAGGAATGCTCCAAAGAGACGTAGCAAAGATAGTAGGCGTTACCCAGGGTGTTGTAGCGAAAACAT